CTTCTGTTTTTCAGCAGAGATATTTATGCTGGTGCGCTTTGTGACAGTGGCACAGGCCAGCTTATTGATCCCAATGAGAACATTCACTTGATTAAGGTCATTCATTTGTTTACATATGGCAGAATTGATGTTTCTCAGCATTTCATTCATTTTGAACACGTGCAGAAAGTTGAACATACACTCTTGTTTGTATCAGTTTCATCAGCTAGGTGATACATTTTCCTCTGTTGCCTCAGTCCCTACACCTGACAGTAGATTCACTTGGGAAAGTTCCTGAGACGTGGCTATATTCTGTGATGTGCTGATCTGGAACAGAGGAGTAAGCACAAGATAGACAACAGTATCTACATTCCTGACAACTTACAGAATTAAGATTTATTTCATAGCATCAAGATTTAGGCAAATTAAGAACAAATATGTCTATGTTGCTGTACTCTGACCCATACTCTTTCTTTCATTCTGCCTTGGCTGATTAACCAGTGATAGAGATAATGAAAACAGCACACACACATGTGATTGTTTTTCGGTCCTTCCCTTCCTAACACTCAGATACACAACAACTGACTTGGCCTTCATCTTAGACAACAGGGTAGAAGTCTTTTAGGAAGATGGGTGCAAACACAAGCAGACTGAACATGGCATTGTCCCAGAAGTTCAGTTAGCTTCCTCCCTGCTTTCTAAACCCCAGGTCACCTTCTCCCCAAAGTCAATTTTCTTGCTTTGTACATGAAAGATTCTCCCTTTTCGTATTGCAAATACCAATTAATTTCTGGACACACAGTAACAGGGGTGAAGAAGGCAGTGGAACCTTTTAAAATAGTGATAAAGGAGCAAACCATTTGCCACTCATGAAAAATTAAGTCTAATCAGAAATAAAACATCATTTCTTACATAGATTTTGATGATTAAATAAACTTGTATCTTGCAAAAGAAGGTTTCAGTACATTTCACAGTGGTACTTTAAGTAGTCAAATAGTACATGTTTTTAGCTTACCCTTATTTAAGTTAACACCTTACTTTGATAAGCTTTCAGGGTTTCCAGAGGAAGATCTGGAATACAATTTCTGCATTTTATCCAAGCTTTTAGGTTTGAAAGTAATTTGTTAAAATACTTGACTGTAGTATTTTGAGTTTCAGAGTACATATTTCCAGATACATTTCAATCTATCACATCATCTCCAATGAGTGTAGTAGAGATTCCTCATTGATGTCATCTTCCAAAAGCCAAATCATATAGATGACAGGTGCACACTAAAAGAATATGTTTATTGTTGTTCTCAAATTTGGACAGATAAATCTAGGAATATGCCAGTTTAAAACACTTTCTTCTCCCTAATGATCTTTTAATATTCATTAGACTTTGTTGTCGGTTTTGAAATACAACCACAAGCTTATTTTCTGAGTCCACTTTTTTGAAGAAGCAGACAAATTCTCCCTCATTACCCCGTAATGGAGCAGTCTGTAAGTTAGTTCTCTTTTCTGGTCTTCTGAAGAAACATTATCACCTTGGAAAATCATTTATTTATTCTATATTGAATTACTTCATCAACAGAATGGAATAGTTCATACTGAAGAGAAGTGCTTGGAAGATACAGGACTCAAATATATTTATAGTGGCAGCATGAGAACGAAGAGGTGGGCAGACCACTCTTCTTTCACTTTTTATTTCAGTGCCTGACAGAAGAGTTCAGAAACACAATTGATCAGAAAATTTTCAGCAGAATTTTATTGGAAATCTTTATTGTATATAAAATGTTTCAAATAAAACATTGTGACTTGTGTTTCCAGCATGGAAACACAACCTTGATTCCTAGCAGGCTGCTGACATCCTATTGTACACAATTCATATGCAGCAGGACTCAGCTTGACTTTTGAAGATTTTTGAACATATTTGAATGTTGGAAGAACATTCCAGGACCTGAAGCTCCAAGGCATGCAAACCAGCTGGAAGCAGAGCAGTAAATTATTTCCAAGATACCTAAATGAGAGTATGGATTTTAGAAGATCTGTGGTCCTCCAAGAGGAGGGCAACAGTCTGATGGTTGCCTTAGAGCTGGAGGAGGGGAGCTCCAGCCAATCATTCTCCTACTAAGGTGGCAAATATAAGACATCTCAAATTGGAAAAAAAATATTTTTCAGCATTTTTAAAAATGCATCCCCATTCCAAACCCATATCTCTGTATTGTAAGAAATAAGGAATAAGGAATAAGAAATAAGGAATATTGCTTTCAGTTATACATTAAAAGGGAATTCTGAATCTCTATGGTTCTATTCAGAATTCTTCAATCAAGGTGGGGCACTAAAACCGTAACTAGTCTCAAATAATTTCAAGTTCTTTTATATGATTATTAACTGTTGACATCTTGCAATATGAGTTCATAAATGGACAACAATTGAACAACAATCTTATTTAGTTATGTATTCATCCCCAGTGAGTACTGCAGCACTGCTTTCTTATAAAGTATCAGAGGATTGTCATGACTTTATCCAACAAGCAGCGATATCACCTGAATCACAGAATCATAGGTGTTGAAAGGACCTCAGGAGACCACCTAGTCCAACCCCTCTGCTTCAGCAAATTCCCTGCAGTAGTTTGCACAAGAAAGTGTCCAGGCAGGTTTTGAATATCTCCAGAAAAGGAGACTCCACAACCTCTCTGGGCAGCCTGTCCCAGTGCTCTGTCACCCTCAGAGTAAAGAAGTTCTTCTTCATGTTCATATGGAATGTCATGTGTTCTAGTTTGTGCCCATTGCCCCTTGTCCTGTCACTGGCACCCCTGAAAAGAGCCTGGACTTGCTCTTTTGATGTTTGACTTCACCCATTTGACTTCCACTCTTTAGATATTTCTAAGCATAATTACCCTTAAACATCAGTCTTCTCCAGGGTGAACAGTTCCAGGTCTCTCAGCCTTTTCTGAAGAGATGTGTTCCAGACTCCAAACATCTTTGTCGCTCTCTGCTGGACTCTATCCAGTAGTTCCCATCTTTTTTGAACTGGGGAGCTCAGAACCAGACACAGTATAGCACTTTATTTCTCATGTTTTTACGAATGTTTGCCTCCTTGTGCAAGGGTTTGATTGACCTACTCCTCTCAAGTCAATCTCAAAGAGAGAGTTGGATAAGTAGAGTAAAAACCTCTTAGGGCATTAGTAAGCATTAGTTGTTCCTTCAGCATTGTTGTTGAATGTTCATCTGCAGAAATTGACTGGTACAGCACAAAGCTCCTGTAACTGTTTAAATGTATTGCTGCTTGGCTGAGGTCAGAGAAAATCACACTGAAGGTAAGGCAATACATTTTGTTTATCCATATGCAACCACTTCTGCTGATATATTCTGTCTTTGACTTGCTTGCAGTGAACAACCAAGCAGGGCTGAGGAAAACGTACCCATAACAGTTTTCAGTGTGAATCTTAATTTGTACTGATCTAAAAAGAATTTGTTTCAAGCCAGGAACAAGATGTAGAAATGTGATTCTTTACATGGAATGTCTAGGATATTTTTCACTTCTTCTACAGATTAAAGTGTTTGATTCTAAATTTAAATACTTCTGTTTCTTTTTCAAGAATTCTATAACTTCTTTCATATTCTTTCCCCAAACACCCAACATGTAGCCTTTGTACACTACCACAGACTGGTTACAAACTCTCTCTATATCACTTTGTCTAACTGTCTTTGCGAGTCAATACATCCTGTGCAGAATCTGCACTCATGTTAGTGAGCTGAACCATGAGAGCACTGTGAACATTACACTGTGGTGATCCTATGCATCAAATATTGATAAATGGATGTAACTCAGCGTTGCTTGAATTATTCAAAATCAACAGTCCAAAAGAGAGAACTAGGTAAATGAGATCTCTTTCCAAAGGACACTTGAATTTCCTTTATAACTTAGGAAATTAAAGAAATTAGCTTGACACTTAGTAATTCTATCCAAGTCCCATCCTTCTTTTCCTCCAAATTAAGAATTAGGATTCCCACCCATCTTTCCACAGCTGTGTGATACTAGCCTTCTTATTTCAATAACTTCATGATATAATGTGCAGAATAAAATACTGTGTTTATGTGTAGCATCAGAGGTTCTCCCAAATCCTTTTAGAGTTTCTGAAACACAGGAATATGTTGTAAAGTAAGTTAAAGAGACAACAAATTTAAATTCTAATTATATAATAAAAGCAAATGTTTTTCTTTAAGTAGTGATTTCAAAAGCCAAAAAAAAAAAGATTTCTTTCTTTTATTTGCTTTTTAAAAGTTTACCAAACTGGTTAACTGTAGAAAGCATATTTGTTATGATGCTGAAGCTCAGAAGTTTTAAAATAAATGTTTTGGAAAAACCCCAGATCACGGCATCCCAGGACTAAGGAAGCTGGATTTCCTATAGCTTCATACCCTGCAGTAAATTAAGTTTGAAATTTAAGAGGCTCTGAGCAGCCACTACTGGGAGACTTAATGAAGTTTCTGTCATAGGTGGATTGTCTACTGTCTAATTAGAGGTCACTACATCTTTGCTGTCAGTCATCATACTCTCATGATATTTTTAGGATCCTAATTACCTTTCAGTCATCTAATCTTTTAGAAATCAGCCTGTGGGTTCCAAAGTCATTGAACAAAGGTTCCACACAGCTTGATGGCATGAGCTTTTTTTTTCAGTCAAAAAAGACTGAAAATCATGTCACTGTTTGAGGGAGTGGCACGTTGCCACCATATCCTGTCAGCTCCATTTATGACTAGAACAGAATACCTTCCAGTGACACACTCAACTCAGCCTGGTTGAACAATAGTGAACTGCAGTTGACTATACAGAGGTTAAAAGTTAAGCGTTTTTGTTTTTGTTTTTTGTCTTAGTGAAGAAGCAGGTGCTGCCAGACTCCTTCAGGAAAGGCAAATGGTACAGGTGGTGCCTCAGTAGCAGAGATGAACACATGTGGAACATATTAATTCATCAATAAACAGAAAGTAGAAACAGGTTTTAAAACAAACTTTTATTTGTGCTCAGTGAAATCAAATTTTTAGTTTGGAATAGGAATGTTGCAAAATTCTTCTTCCCCTTTTTTGAGTTCTGGATAAAGGAAGACTACATGAGCATAAAACTGTGAGTTATTTTTTCATTACTTTCTATTATCAAGCTTGTATGATTGGGTAGCAATCCAATATGAAGCATGCAGGCTATGGATAATTCAGAGTGATTCTGTACTGAAAACTGCTTGTTGCCTCTCATGTGGTCCTGTGAATTGCTTAGAAAGAATATATAGTTTCAATCAGAAAACTGCTTTGTAAAATGTTCCCTACTTGGATTATTATCCAATCAGATGTTACAAAATCTAGGATACTCATCAATAAATACATTGTGATTACACTTAATATAGGGCAATTATGCTGTAAGTAAAATGCTTAGATGTTAGCTAAAAATGGCTAAGTTTTTCCCTGTAAAGAAAAGAATTGTGTGTAACCAGTTTAATGGGAGTCTGAATGCTCTTATAGTGTGCTTGCACTGTAGCAATAGTTGAAAGCTCTAATAAAGATTATTGTTCCACTAATAACTGTCAGGCTCCAAAATAAAGGAATGTCTCATGCCTGAAGAGATTGAGGTCTAGCAATGAGATAGGAAAACAGTTTTGACTGCAAAAGAAAGAGAGCTGAGGGGAAGAATTTTCTACAAATTATACAGTGTACAAATTTGTGTTTGGTAACTATTAGCCTTCTAAGAAAAACACAGAATTATGTCTATGACCATCTCCAGCTTAGATGGAGGATGATTGATTGTGTGTGTGTGTGTGCATAAATTTATATTAAATTTATGAATAACAAGTGTTTCTCCAAGAGAAAAGGAGCATAATTCTCTAGCAAAGACTAACCTTTTTAACTCACTGTTGCTATCTACCCTTTAGATAGGATGATTTAAAAAGAAATAAAACATCCCCAGTAAGTAGTAGTGATGACCCAGATCATTCAGCATTTTCCCCTACTTACAAACACTGCAGGGCAGAAGATGTTTTTTTAATTCAACAGCAAAATTTCACTATGCCATGTGAATTTAAGGTATGCTTTAATATGAAGAGAAGCTAAGCTAAGGAGGAATATGGTTGAAGGATTTCTTATGATTGTGGCTTTTCTTGCAGCTGCTTTTGATGAACTACCTGACCTTACCCCAAGCCTACTGTGGTTCTAAGGAAGTCTAGCACAGGCAATAGTAGGCCAAGTCTTTAAAGAAGGGATGACTGTCCTTAGAACTTAGAAATCTAAATACAGTTCAGAAAAATGTATGAAGTACCTGGAAATGTGTGACACCCTCTGATTTTTCAAAAGCTGAAGGAAACAGCCTCGTATGTGTTTTAAATGGATTTCTTTGCACAGTGGTTTTAATGCCACCAATATGGGATTTATTCTGTCCTATTTTTAGAAATCTTTAAAGGTCAGTTTGTGGTAAAGGTGGTTAAGAAATTCAGGGGAAGCACTGGACAGCTATATATCTATCCACAAACTCCACTTGAGTTTGTGAGTGTTGAGTTGATTTATAAATGACACTGTATCCTGGCTTCTCTTTGGACATTTCTCCCTGCTGAACTGTGTGGTGCTAGCTAAAACATGGAGTTTGCTTTCCTGGCCTTGACTAACAAGCTGGCTGCAGCCAAGGAATAGTTAGGATTTTAGGTGGCCTGCTGCCAAGCAAAAACACTGACTGACTTGAGCCAGGGCTGGAACTTTAACAGAAGGGCAACTTCAATAACAGGCATTTAGGTGAAATTAGAAAGTTTGCACAGGCGAATGAAAAAAGTTCTAAAGGAATGGAAGGACTGACTGCTGAATAGAAGCTGAAAGGAGGTTACTGTTGACTATTTTCGTAACTCTGATTATATCTTATGTGGTGATTAAGAGTGAAAAAATGATTTATTTTAGGTGTCTCATTGAGAATATTGTCCAGAATATTCTCAATGTAGCTGCTGCAACATTTTAAATTGTTGAGAAGCTAAGCACCCAGATCTGGAACTTTGGGGAGTGTGAAGTTACTCCTGAATAGACTCTGGAAGAATAGCACTGCTATGTGAACGTGGGCTGTCAGATTGTAGAGTCTTAGTTTTCAGGAAGGGGTACAAATGAGAATAACCGAATCTCAAAAGCCTGATTAGAAGTGCAGAGCCTGTGAGATAGATTTAGAGTCTGGTCATTCCTTGTAGTTCAGGGGCCTGAGATATCCAGAGAACAGAATTTTTTTCTTAAGTCTGATAAGCATCTCGGTAGGGTGCTTGCCAGTATTGTATAAATTGTGTTACTGAGTTTCATTTGTGCAATGTTGTCTCTTAATTTTGCTCTCCGTAAGAAAGGATCTTTTTTTACCCCTAAATAAGCAAATATTCTGTTTCCATGTGCGCAAAGAATGTGTTTTCTTGCAGTTCTGGTAATAAGCTTGCTTAAAAAGTAGCTACCTATGATATCTTTATTGTATATATAAAGGAATGGATTACAGAAGGTACGCCTTGTACAAAGACTGCAGTTACACATACTGTCCCTCTTCTAGACCGAGCAGCCATTTCACTCTGTAGAATAGGGTACTGATGGCAATAAACTGTGATACTGAAGCATTTTCCTTTGTCTATTTACTACTAATTAAATAACTATAGTTACTAAAATTCATAGTTAGTAACATTTGCAGGTTTTTTTCTTACCTTTCCTGTTCATCTGTAAGTGAAAATAAAAAAAAGATGAAAATCTGAAGTGTAAGGTTAAGTTCCTGGAATTTATGACCTTGTAAATAACTTTCGGAAGAACCTTCCAAAATAGCCGCTGAGTTGACTTGTTTGCTTTGTTTGCTTCTTTTGTTTGTTTATTCAGTTGTCTGTATTTCTGTCTTATGAATTTGTCTGGCACACTTATACCTGAAAATCAAAACTGCCAATTTGAAATTTTCTTTATAGATCATGAGCAGTTTGCACATGAAATGTAAAGATTGGTTTTGAATCTATTTGCTTATTACAACATAAGCAGCAGATTAACTGTTGTTGCTGTTATTGGTTCAGTGTGTAAGAATACAATATTCTCATTTTCATGAAAGAAGCACTGGAGGAAAGAGATTGAGCTTTTTCTGTTTCTTTGCCTCTGCTTGATTATTTGGGAAAGCTTTCTCTAAATCTCTGACATTGATGGGAACCATTTGAGAAGTTCCCCTTAGCCAAGCCAAGTCTGGGCTCACAAGCACAATTCCATTATTTCAGCTGGATTTTATTACTGCAAGCAGCTTAACCAGCTGCATAGCAGGAATGTTTAACCAGGAACAAGACAAACTTCCATAAGCTGCTTAATTCTGACTTGGGACTTTTCCTCCAAATCAATTGATATTGAAATAATTACTTCTCAGAATCTGTAGAGGAAAAGAACGTAAAAAGAAAATTAAAATCTAATGAAATGAGTAGAAAGCAGTGTCTGAGTAGATATATCTTAAGCCTTAGTAAATTTTCAAAGGTTATGTTATTCATTTTGTCTCTGGAAATCTTTATGCTTTTCTCCCCTCCTCTTGTACTCTTAACCTTTTCCTGTTACTTAAAAAACTCATGATAAAAATTCTCTCTCTATATATTATATAGCTGTATGTAATTTATACATATTTTTTTATTTCATATATATGTACATATACACAAAATTTTTTTAATACATATAAAGAAATCTTGACCTCCCATAGTTAATAGTTTTACTCTGGCAGAGTCAATGTCTTGAACAGGAGAACACTATTGTTGTTCTTCTAAATCCAGGGATCTTTATTTTAGTGTTTGCAACCAAATTTTGTCATATTCAACTGCTCTGCTTCCTCTAATTTGCTCTTTATAAACTATGTAGTACTTCACTACTCAACTGCAGGATTGCATTTCAAATGTGGCAAATGAAATAGTTCTTGTTTAGTAGGAGATAATCTATTTTAGTAATTTTATACTAGTTTAAAAGCTAACTTTGATGGAATTATAATGTTGAGGTTTATTGTATTATCAACATTGGGAATTATAATACTCAGGGAGCTGAATTCCTGATATGGCAGGAAGGGGTAAGAAAAAGGCTCTGTTAAGAGTGCTTATTTGTAGTGTGAGTAAAAAAAAAAAAAAAAAAAAAAGTTTTTCTTTGTCTTAGGGATGAGCAGTTTATGTTTAAAGTATTGGTATTTGTTTTGAAGGAAATGGGAGTATGGGAACTTACTTTTGGAGTTTGTTAGGTATCTAGGTTGAAGGCACTTATTGAAACTCAAGTCATGGAAAATAAAGTTCTAAACAGTTTTGGGAGAGGTACACAGAGAGAGGAGGGCTTTATCTTGTGGCCATTGTGTTCAAAAGCATTTTTCTAAAGTGAAACAGTTAATCACTAAATCAACAAAAAGGAGTACTGCATGTGTGTGCTCTCCAAGCTTCTTTTCCTTCTATTGAGGTTTGTGTCTGGTCACCCCCAGTGCATTTCCTTCCCTGAGAATTTGCCACTTCTTTCCTTGAGCCCATGTAAACGTTTTTGCATCCAGAGTCAGCCTACTCTGCATCTTTCTTTTTGTTTTGAAGAGGGTTCGTTCTGGCTCTGTTTACTGGTCTTCTTTGGAAAGACCATCTGTCCCTACTCATGCATGCCATGTCAATCATGATTTTGTAGACCTGGCACAATCCCTACAGATCTCTGCCAAAAGCTGAAATGTTTTGCCTACCTTTGTTCCTCATCAGGAACTCCGTGCTTTTGATAATCCCTATTGCCCTATTAAGAGGAAAAATCTCCCTGCTGTAAGGGTGGTCAACACTGGAACAGGCTTTCTAGATGCCCTATGCTTGACAGTGTTCAAGAGGCATTTGGACAATACCCTTATCAAGTTGTATGAACTTTTGTTTAGCTCTGAAGTTGTCAGGCAGTTGGACTTTATGTTTTTTGAAGATCTCTTCCAATCAAACTATTCCATTCTATTCTGGATGTTTTTGTTTTTCTGATAGCAGATCATTGTCGAGACATTTAGCAATGCATAGTGCTCAAAATATAAGGGATTTATATAGTGACACAATGCTGTGTTCTGCTCTCCATTCTTTCCCTAACTCCACATGCTTGCTTTTTTGTGTATTTGTTTTGGTTCGTTGTTTTTGTTTGTCTTGTTTTTTTTAAAACCGTTATTGAGAACTGACTTTGTGGAACCAACTACTGGTGATGTTCAGCTTGGAGCCATTATTTCTTGTATAAATCTAGGAATTCTTTTTTCCTCATGCTCACTGCTTTATTTCTGCATTGTTTCACCTGCTATTTTATTGAGGAGTCTTGAAAGGTTTCATAGTAGCTTTTCCCAGTCCAGTCTTATCTTTATTCCCTTGAACATACACTGTATCACAGGCAAACATACTTGCCTTACCACATACACCTTTTTCAGCAGTTGAAACCCAGTGGATTTCACAATTCTGTTCCTGGCATTGGAAGCCAGCCCTCCCCTCTTTCACCTTCAATCCTTTAGCCAATTGTTTACCTATTCCTGGAAGTTCTTTCCTAACCCATTGCTGCTTGGCTTTCTTAGAAGCCTTTGGTGTGGGAGTTTGTAAAATAAATAAATTAATTAAATAAATTAAATTTTAAAAAAATTTAATATATAAAATATTTTGTTATTCATACTGGTTTCTTCAAATAATTTGAAGGACAAGACTTCCTTGTGCAGAGTCTATACTGCTATCTGTCTGGTACACAGATGTAAACAATTTGTATTTTTGTAGTTGCCTTCTAATTCTATCTCATGGAAGTTATTTTCTATTTCTTATTTGATTTTCAGCCTCTGACTTGTCATTTACATGAAGTTAAAGAATGTTCATATTTGAATACCATAAATCGTTATACTAAACTGTGTGTTCTTCCACACTCATGTGTTTTTCTGTCACTCATCAATCTAAATTTTCGCTCACAATCTTTGCTTAAAGTGCCAGCATCTCAGACATCTTAAAGCTCAGATGAAGTCTGTCCGTCTTGTGCAGGCTTTTTCCAGATGTGTACCTAAAATTTTTACAAGTCGAAGAAAATAGAATTTGGGAGTTTTGTGCTTGAGGTATCACAATCCATATGAAATAGGCGTGTCCAGGGAAAAGACACAGTTTAATCAGAGACTTTTAGAAGATATGTTTTCTGTAGTGTTAGAAAAAGACAAGCTCTTGACACAGTAGAAAGCATTTGAAATTGAAGTTGCGTTAAATGTTTTGCTGAAGAGTTCTCATACTGCAGAAACATCTTCAATTCTATCATTTGTGTAGGGAGAGCATCAGATTTTTTTTCCTCTAAAATAGGGTTACTGTCTACCAACAAATTATTCCAACTTTTGCTTCTGAATATTCAAAATATTACTGTGCTGAACAGCTGATGGGGTTAGTAACACATTGCAAAAAAAGTCAGTCTCATAGAGTCCTGCTCCCTTCATATAGCTGTTATGAAGAAGCCTGTATAATAGGAAACTTAGATAATATGCAGGGTAACTAAAGCAGTGACTGTGAAGGAGAATGTGGCGTGGCATCCCCCTAGGCCATGGAGCGCTCCATTAGCTGCAATAGCTCCTAACTTCTATTTAATGGGCAGCTAGCAGAAAATAAAATTACTTCAGTCAGCTGAAAATCTTATTCTGTATTAGTTATGTTTCCAGTCTGGGGTGAAGAATAGGCTAAACTAACCCTATTCCTACTTGGGGAAGAACGGTTAAGGTGAAACAAAGATGAGGAAAAGGTCTTTTTCACAAGGTTTCTTTTGTAGGTTGGGTGCGTTATTGGGTTAGGGTTTTATTTTGGGCAGGAAGTGTTGCTGATAGTACAAGTAATATGTAGATCACCTGTAGCTGATTCTAGACGCACCATTTTATGCTATCCATGAGTGCCTTATTGATCAAAATGACAATTCCTGGTTTGAGGAACTCAGACTTATAGAAAGTAGAAGGTAACAGAAGATCATTTTGTAAAGGAGCACTTTACACCCTGGAAACTAGCTGAGTTCACTATAGTGCGCTGATATCTTCTAGGGGAATGAGAACATAGATCATGTATGCAAGAAAATGATGGGATTAACAGGGTAGATCTCAAATGAGGAAATCTGATCATAGTGCCGAGTTTAGTTGGAGGCCTGTAACAAGCAGTGAACATCCAGGGGTGCATCTGGTCTTGTTCAACATCTTCATCAATGACCTGGATGGACGAATACAGTCCACCCTCAGCAAGTTTGCTGATAATACAAAGCTGAGTTGAGTGGCTGCCACAGATTTTGCATGGGAGATGTGATCCTAGATAGACCTCAAAATTTTACTGAATCAATATAAAATCTCTGGAGATATTGTTGATCCAATGATCAATGTCAGGATTGAATCCATAGCAAGCAATTGCAGTGTGCAATTATGTTCTATGTGATGAATTTTCATTCTAAATAGAGTGGATTGAGTGGTTGTGTGCAAAGTTGAAATTCCATTTGCAGATGAGAATTGGAAAAATTCTGAAATGAGAGTTAGTAGAAAATCAAAAACAGGTATTTATATGTTGGGAATGTTGAAAAGAAACAAGTAGCTAACTGCAATTTCAAAGTATTTTAAGGGCCTGTCTATGAGGACATATGGAGGGGAAGATGAGAAGAGTTTTATATCCAAAAGCTATCTGTAGAAAATAACTAGAAGACAAGTGAGATGAAAAATACATACTATGATGAGAAATTTTTTTTTGATTTCTCACTGATTCTCTTCTAAACCATAATTTGTCCATAGGCAATGAATATCTAGCAAATGGCCAACTCTATAGCAATAACAATAACTAGCGCAAATTTTTACTTTTAAACCATTGCCACAACAGCTATAAGGCAGTACTACCTGATTATTTTATTCTTTTGCCTTACCAATTTCCATTTGAATAATTTTCTTTGGTGCATTAATTGCAGTACGTTGTACATCGTGCTATTCTTGCAATGCCTAACCTGTTGTTGTAGTTAAAATGTACTTCTGTATGTAGCTGGAATGAGACTGGCTCTCTGTCACACCTTTTGAAATTGGTGGGTTTTCTTATTTGATGGAACTTTGACTATTTTGTTTGGAGAGGACTATTATTACTTTTTTTTTTTCTTTTTTTCCCAGTACCAAAATAACTTTAGTAGAATTCTGCAACATGATTTCATTTTCTAACTAGTGTTGCCTTCTAATGCTGATCTTAGCATTTAATTATGCCTGCAGAAAAAGATTTTTCCCTTCTGTGTCCTAAACACTGTACAGTGATGTGCTGTATGACCAGTCAGATAAAGGCCAGCTGAGAATTCTTTGAACTGAAACAAAAGGAGCAGACATAGGAAATGATGGTTCAATAAGAAATTAATTTACTGTCTCCTGATAAAGTTTATCTCATTATTTTCCTCCAAGGAAAATACAGAACCCTGATGGCCATGATACTACTCTCTCAGTTTGCTGTGAATACACAGAACTCAATGCCAGTGAAAACAGTTGTTGTACAAAGATTGGCTGTTGCATATCTCTAATTTTCTGTGAGAATAGGGACACAGCATAGTAGTTCACAGCATCTCACAGAGGGAATTCATGTAAGACATCCTAACTGGAGACAGCACTCCAAATATGGTCTTACCAGTGCTGAGTGGAGGTTGACCTTCATCAACCTGCTGGCAAAGTTATGTTGAATGCAGCCCAGGATACTGTTTCCTCTTCTTGCAGCTGAACAATCTCCTTTCCCATCTTCTAAACAAGGGATGCTTGAATATGAAAGAGAAAATTGCAGTACTATATAGCGCTTGCTCTTATGAAGTAAGAAGAATATTTAAGCTGCTGTGTAATTGCCATGTCAGTAATGCTTAACAAGACATGACTTCTGTAATGTCATATTTCCTATTCTGTGCTGAAATCATTTGCTAAAAGAAAAAAAGAAAATGTGACAAAATATGCTAAGAGGACATTTCTTGCCCCTTATTTTCCATTGTTGTTAGTCCCAAAAGAAAAAAATATCACTGGGAGGGAAGAAATATTGATTATTTTTGTCTAAATGTATATGATTTCAATAAAATAACTTCAACTTCATCAAGGTATTGCTTTTCCAACTGACAGGGAAAACACCAGGCGAGGCCTTCAGCACTGCTTATTAAGAAACCAAGAGCCAGGTCTGTGATTACCAAGACCTTGCTCACTAGTACTAGCTGAGGAGATATGCACTCACTCATCCTCTTAAAAGTGGCAGGCAGCCTCCAATGTCTTTGTTATCTCAGAAGTATACGTTCTCCTTGGATTCTTTGTGGGATGCCCCAAAATGAAAAATCATCCTGTTTTCTCTTGTTTCTACCCTACATTAAGACTTAACTTGAGGACAGCAGGGTTCTTGGGCCGCTACTATGCTAATATTATGACTGCTAGTCACAGTGGAGATTCAGAAGGTGGATACCAATGTACAAAATTCAAGTACATAGAAGAAAGAAATATAGTCTGTTACTGAAGTGTAGTGTTTAAGGTTTGAGTGCACGCTTTATTTTTGTTGTTTAAATCATACCAAAGAACAGCTGTCCTGAGGCACAATTTTCTTCTGTGATAGGGCTGCCAACTATTTTACTGTCTGCAGTATGGGATGTGCAGTCTCCTTGTTAGTAATGACAGCACTGTTCTTACTATACGATCATATGGGAAAATTATGCAGGCACAATCTGAAGCAGACAGTATCTTGGTACAATGCTGTACTCTACTTCAGTCTCTTAAGCTCTTCCATATGAAATATTATCACTGTATCAACAAAAACAGCTGAGCAAATTTCTTTAAAATGTTATCCTCTAAAAGAAGCTTGCTGAGGGCAGTTAATAGCCAGGAGACTTTGGCTAGATGGTTTGTTACTTTGAGGCAGCATGCAGTGACTAATCCACTGGGCTTTATGGGTCTATTTAAATTAGATATATGCAGGCAGTGCATTATTTATAACCAAAAGCATGAATAATTCAACATGCCCACTCCTAGCAGGTATCCAGCTTGTGCCAGAAGTCAGCAGTAAATGCTTGCTTTCAGAATTAGGAAGACGCTATCAGATAACAGTTACTTTTGCTTGTATGCTCCACTTTGCTCGTTCTCCTTTGCCTTTTGTATCTTCCTGGCTCGGCTCTGCCTTTTATCTGGGGAAGAAGAACAAATGATGTATTCTCTGCATTATTCTCTTCATCTAGAGATGACATGCTATGTTTAAAACAAATTATGTAAATCCTCTTAGGTTCAAAGCATTAATTTCATTTATGTATCATTGTGGATGAGACAGAGGCATAGTCAAGAGAAAGGCCTTAAAGGCAGCATGGCAAGGGGGCAGCTTGAGCTCTGCTGTGCCCTAAGAATAGATGTGGCGACACAGCCCTGTTGAAAAGTGTGTGTGTGGTAGATTCTGTGTGCCCAAGTATTCTGTCTACATAGCTTAGATGGTATCCAAGCCTGAGGATTTGGACATCTGGTGGGGAAGCAGGCTGTGTGTGCAGTGGATGCCGGCTACTCACTGGCCATTGCCAACAAAATATTCTGGCGTTCAGGCCATTGAGTTGTGTAGGAATGCAAGGTACTTCTCAAAGACTGTTGGCTTAAAGCCAGTTTCACTGGGACACGGAACTTCAATTGCTTCCAACGCAAGTTATTTCTCTGCAGATTTTTTGTTCTTTCAGTCCCATCTTACTGATATCTAAAATCCAGAGCCTGCAAAGAAAGAACTAAAACTGCCTCTGGCTGGCTGTCTTCTCAGTGGTCTGAGCTAGGGTCTTCTAATAAGACCCTTGCTCTTCTCTGAAGCTTGGATACCAGGGGAGTTTTTTTATTATTATTATTTTCCTGTCTTAAGTCCAGTGCAAACAATACAATAGACTAATGTGGTATCACCATTTTGAGTCAGAGCTTCTCTGAGTGGGTTTATCATACCATAACTTGTTTCTACCCAATCCCAAAAGTAACCAGTTAATTGCAATTACAAACACTATATACCATGAACAAGTTGGGGAAACAATAGCAATTCTTGAATATGTGCCAGATTGTTCCACATAAAAACAAATTCAGCTGAGATCTTCAAGTTTGCTGCAGATGAAAACTTATAAAATCCTTAGTTGACTTAATGAATCATGAAAGAAATGCTGGGGTGTTTTGCTCCCTATCTTGTGTGGCTACAGATAATTCATGGTTTTGTGTCTCAATCTGTACATTTGAATAATAACACCTTCCTAATCAAAGCAGCAATTTTGAGGGGAAAAAATGCACCAGAGATGGTAAGGCTCTTGGGTTTGGATGGCAAGTGGAGCTAACTAAACATGATAGATAGCAGTACTTCTCATGCAATAGCTCCAGTGAGATAATTTCTGTAGCCACTGAAAAGCAGCAATTGGGAAGAACAGTCAATTTACAATAGCACGTGGCAACATTACACAAATTTAGATACAAATTAGAATTAAAAATCCTGCAAAGATACTGCACAGAGTTGGTTAGCCAGATTATCGTAATAGTTCTAGATGGAAAATGGCAGGCGTTCAAGATCTTGAGGTGTGGCATAGTCTTTAGCAACATATGATCTTAGTAAACTGTTTGACTAAGTAGTGCTCTTGTGTATTGCTTCAAGACTGAGGAAAAGTAAAAACATGCTGTGTTCAGTCATTCATATGTCTCCAGTCGTCTCTTGAGTCTCTTGAATTTTTTTTTTTTTTTTTTTCTCCTCTTCCCTCCTCCTGGAGATCTCATATCAAAACACTGACCTTAGTTAACACAGCTTAACAGGAGAAATCCATCAGGATCACAGAAGGAGTAGAAAGTCTGTACAGGAAAGAAGGTATTCTCTGGCAAAATGGTGATATCTTTAATGTGAATAAGCAATAGTATCTGTTTCAATTTTAAGTAAAATCCAGATAAACTAGTCTGATTTTTTTTTTTTTTAATGATATGTTTTTCCTGTTTTGGCATCTTAATGACTGCTTATAATTCCCTAGTGCGTATTCAGTCAGTCAATGACAGAATCTTATCACAATGTTCCCATTGTTTGTGTCCATCAGAAGAGACAGCTTCAGGGCTCCAAAACAAGGATTAAGCTCACTGTGACAAGAGACGAAAGTTTTGTGGAATCGTGGTATGATCTCTAGATAAAGCATCTTTCTTAATGATGATGTTGGGCTCAGAAGGGAAAATTCCTTCCAGATACAGCAAATGATCAAAGAATTAATGTCAGCTCAGAATGTGTTACCTGAAGCTGAGGTGGAACACAGGTATAAGATGTGTATGATGGGGATAGAACTGTACAGTGTAACATACCACTTTGGTCACAGAATGACCACAGTTGTTATGCTGTTGGTTCTGTTTTACAATTCTCTAGAGCCTGACAAGGGCAAACAATTAGGAGGAGAAATACTAGTCCATTGATGCCTTACATCTGAAATTTCAAATATTGCCTTTCAGATCTTCAAGTTTTTTGAGAGTAGAGGGAACAAACTTTCATTAGACATTGTTAGAAAGTCATGGTGTCCAATCAGAACAGAAACATCTATATCAGATTCTCTGCCCATACAGAATGGTGCTGACTGATGACCTCTGGAAGTAAAATCTCAAGTAACTCCAAAATTAACTTCCATCTGCTGCTTGATACATTTCAAGGTACTCCTAGAAAACATAAATTACAGGACGTGCCCAAATGATGAAGGAATATGGGGCCTAACATGTTGTCTACTTTGTTGCTATTCTCCATAAACTTTGTATCTGCATTGTAGCTAGTGCATAACATTTCCAGCTCATGGGGAAAGGAGAGAGGGCTTTTCTCAAAGCTGTACTGGCAAGATGCTTACTGTTTGAACTCCTACTTCTTATAGGTGCTTGGGCCCCAGCAGCATGCTCTGATGGATTTGTATGTCAATATTGCCACCATAAATCCAGAATAAAGTTTTGAAAAGAAATTGAGAAGGGAAGAAATAGACAGGAAAGAATATGTGTGCATATTTTGTTTGGCTTAGGTTATGTACATTTAGCATTCTCCAATGACTACAGAATGTAATTAATTTTTAAATAATGGCACATTTATTCTCTTAAAATCCTGCCTGCAAAACTGAGGTAATGCTTCTCTGCTTATCTAGGGAACTAAGGCATGATTTCTTTGGATATGAAGAAGAGCCTGTTTTTTAGCATATATGCAGGGCAGACTTCTCAGAATATGAAGCATCTGAAAGGCACTGCAGGGAGAGGTCTGTATTAATCCCATAAAATTCTGTCCACTCTGCCTGCAATTTCTGCCATGCATAACTGGTTAGGTTACAAGCGGAAGTGAGCAAGTTGGAGGTGTGTATGTCTAAATGCAAATGAAAGACAAGGTTTATTTAGATGACTAAGGATTTCAAATGAATGCATTCCATGGGATGGAGGGAAATAACCACTTGATCTGAAAAAGAGAGAATACCTCAAACTGAAGGAAAAATGGAACAAAACTCTCAAAATGGGTTACTGATAGAAAGGAGTTGCACCCTGTGCAACTTTGACTCTCATCAAGGAAATTGCTATGTGGCTTCCAGTTGGCACAAGCCAATATTTGTATGTGTCCATTAGTGACCCTTGGCTTGCCACAGGGTTTGTATGTGCTCTACTGATTTCATTGCATATGTTGCTTCCTGCATTTGACATTTCTACCTCAGTGGATAAAGGTCCCCAGTATAAATTTTTAAGTGCTGGGGAGCAAGGTTGTCACAGAGAGTTCCCTATTAGGGTATCAGAAAATATCTGGACTGAAGTGCTTTTGGTTGGGAGCCAGAGGACAGCCAGTGTGAACTTAAGTGATGCGCAGAGAGGCTTCTTCTAACAGTCTTCACCTGGATTGATTAGGAGTTACATTAAAGCTCATTCCCGTCTGATAGGTCGTTATGGGATTAGCTGAGGCAATTCTGTTCAATTTCCAGTGAAGAATCTTCCCCAAGAATTAAAAGCAGGCTCAGTAGATGTTCTGTTGGAAAGCGTTGGAGATAGAACTCCTTCAGCCCTAGATATCCCCCATTAGGCCCACCAAAGCAGTGTAAGAAATCTGCAAGAACAGTTTCTGGCACATCTACCTCTGGGATGAATCAAGGGTTTTGTTTCTCAGGGCTACTAGTTTGGCAACTTTTTACGCAGCACTAAATCTACTGAAGGTTGAAGAAAATTGCTAAGCGTAATATTTGGATTTACAGACTCTTTCTTGTAGGACATGTTCCCTTAGAATATCGTTCACACTAAGAAATAAGTTAAATTTTTCAATCCTGCAGCATGTTGAGCATGATCATGTTGTAAAAGATCTTCCTAAACAGGGTGCAGACCAGAATTATACAGAGCTTCTGCTTAAACTTTCTTTACTTGTTCTTCTGATTTCAGTTCCTCTGCCACTGCTCTCCCAATATATATTTGGTCCTTTCATTCCATGCATTTTTTTTTTTTTCACCGAACCACTGCTTTCCACTCATTATTAGACTTAAAAACTGGTCTTTCAAGATGTCTCCATCAAACCAGGGCAATGATTTCCCCAGTCTTTCTTTCATCATCCAAACTTTACCTTCGTGTGTGTGTACATGCATGTGGATCTTTCTACAGAGCAAAGTGATTCAACAAAGCTGCTGGAGCTGCTATCTTTACTGACAAGCAGAACTGGGTTGGATACTGTGGGATGAGAAAGCCAGAGATTTGAGATATTCTATCAAACTGAGACTTTGTCTTGTTTGAAGTTTTTGTGTTGAAAACATAAAGCAAAGTATCAGCTGTTGAAGCCAAATATTTCATTTAAGATCTAACTTCTTCAGTTTCAGAGCAGTCACTCTCTACCAAAGAATGAGAATTCCTCATCCTTGAATATATGAAAACACTGTTTAGATAAATATGAAATTGTTTCAGGATGCAAACTGAATGAGAAAAAAAAGTTAACTCAGCCTTTTCCACAGGGAAAACTCAGTTTTATGGAAATGCTTTCTTGTCAATGTTATCAAATCTTAAGCTGTTACATTTTTCCTTATGGAGCTAGTCTTGGACTGGGATAACCATCTTAGATTGTTATGCCTGGATTACAATTCCATTCTGCATCAACCTTGTGGCTGAAGCATGTTAGATATGTTGAAAGAGCACAGCAAGGTATGAAGCAGAGCTACCTATGCTAGGTAACTATCAGCAGCATAGCTGTGCTAGTCTGTCACTACACTTGCACTGTCAGACTGCTTCCAGTAGAATCACAGAATGGTTTGAGTTGGAAGAGACGTGTAAGATCATCTAGTTCCAACCCTCTGCTACAAGCACGGACACCTCTCTCTAGACAAGGTTGCTCACAGCCCCATCCAGCCTGGTCTTGAATGCCGCCAGGGAGGGGGCATCCACAACCTCTCTGGGCAATCATTTCCAGTGTCTCACCCCCTCAAAGTAAAGAATTTATTCCTAATATCTAGTCTAAGACTACCGTCTTCCCCTCTTCCTGTTGCGACACGCCCTTATAAAAAAAAATTTCCCCAGCTTTCCTGTAGGCCCCCTTCAGGTGCTGGAAGGCCACTGTAGGGATTCCCCCTGGAGCCTTCTCTTCTCCAGGCTGCAGAGCCCCAGCTCTCTCAGCTTATACCTGTAGAGGAGGTGCTGCAGCCCTCTGATCATCTTCATGGCCCTCATCTGGACCCGCTCCAGCAGTTCCATGTCCTTGTGTTGGAAGCCCTCAACACTATCCTAGCTAGGTTCTCACTTCTCCTGGCTTTATTGAGTACTCAGTAGATCCTTCGCACAGTGGAACATAGCTGAATTGTAGAATTGTTTGGTTGCAGGTATGAGGAAAATCTGAACTGAAATTAAATGCAGCTCTGGCTTCTCTTGTTTGAACTGTTATTCTGTTCATCCTACTTTGAATTTCTTGATCTGTGCCAGACAGAACAGAAAATTCTCTTCCATTGTACTGCAAAGTACTTTATGTTCACAATACGATACCAATTACTCTTAGTGAGATAAACATAATTTTAAATGAAGAATTACTGTCTAACTCTTTGCAGTAAGTGCTGAGGAACCACCACCTAGGAGACAGCAAGGATCAACCAAATCAACAAGGATTGAGTTTATTACTTACAAACAGCTAGTGAGAAATTAGTCTTTTGCTACAGAAGAAGAGTTATATAGAAGTATCTCACCAGGGAATCCTTCAAGAAGCAAAATGCAGCAGAACAGTGGCCACTGCCACATCCAGTAGGGTTTGTCATGTCAGAGTGGACCAGAGGTAGCCTGCAGAGGAATATTTTTCTGCTTTGACTTGGATTTACAGCAGAGTCCTAAAGTGTGGTGATTTCACATATTTATCTAAAACAGACTACAACTAGTAGTAAGTAAGCACTGCACAGTGGGCTCACTGAATGTTTATGAAGACCAAACAGTGGATGTTAGCACAGTGAGGAGATAGGTGGTCTGTTTCAGCAATAGCAAGTGGGTCACCTTCGCTTGTGCAGATTTTTCAGTGCAGTATGCAGGCTCTTGTTCATCACTGGCAAAAATGCATTGCTAATGGTGGTGACTATGTTGAAAAATAGTGTTATTGTGCTTTTTGTGTCTGTTGCAGTTTCCATGGAAAAAAATGGGAGGAATCACCTTCAGAGTGGCCTACATAATTATGATGCCTATTTCTCTGCAGTAAGAGCACTTCCATACTCTGGTGTCTGTGGGTTTGCAGGGATTTTTTCTCTCTATTTTTTTTTCTTTCTTTTTAAAATTATGACACCCAGCAACTTCTGGCTGTGCACATTGAGTTGTCTGGCAGAATCTCTGTATTCTGGCATTGTGTTTCTCTACATGAAATAATGTGGGAGGATAAGGCTAAAGGGGAAAAATAATAACTTTAAGACCTTTTGAGAGCTGATGTACAAATTCTAGGACATGTTTTCTAATTCCCTTTCTCTTCAAGCCTTCTGCTTCACCCATGTTCTGTTCTACTGGTATAAAGACACACTGATATAAAATCAAAATGGGCCAAACTGAGGTTCTCCAGCCTGTAAGCCAAGCCTCTTGGCTTAAAGGAATTTTTGATACAGAGAAGTTGGTTCTTGCCCTTAAAGCCCTTGTAATAATCTGAATACCTGCAGCTCACTGATACCTTATACAGCTGTTCCACTGAAGTTAATTTTTTATATATTGGGACAAATAACACAACAGCTTGTGCTCAAAGGGATACCCACAGGATGTTGTACAACGTGCTCAGCATCTTGTAGGTTAGTAAGTGCTGGTTACTGGCACTGGATTGAAATGACTGAAGATCGGTGTTGACAGGGTTATTAACTCAGAAACATATAACCTGTCTTTCTCTGGTAGCACACTCTACTTGGACCAAAATCTGCAGAGAAGCAGATGAGGGAGAGGGTAGGGTGAAGCAAGAAGGGGTGTAGACTGGGAAAATAACTGGCTTTTCTCTTTGTTTTGTTTTGTTGTTTCCTGTCCCTTTGCTTGCTTCCCAGGCTTTATTCTTGGTACCAGAGAGAACACACAAAGCTCCATATAAAGGCTTATGTAACAAACATGCTTTCTTTATCACATTCCTTTAATCATTTTAACCTGTGGCTCAGAGTGAGTCAAAGTGATGTTTTGTTGCTATGACCTGTCAATTTTCTCATGGGTTTCTGTATGGATGCTACATATTGTACCTTTGTCCTTCTTCAACTCAAGCCCTGGTAATGGCGATGATAGAAATGCCAGTACTGCCTCAACATGTCACTTCACATTGGTCTTCTGAGACAGGAAGTCCACTTGTTTCTAGAAAGGCAAAATAATTTGTGTCAGTTAGTTAAAATGGCACACTGCTGATTCAGGCATTGAGCTCTAAAGGAGTACTTTGTCCCAGCTCTGTAATGGCCTGTCTCTTGTCATCCCTGGGGGGCAACTGGGATAAGTTCCTGGAGGAAAAGGTCAGAAAAATCAAGAAGATTATTATCATCAGTCTGAATCAAAACTGATGCTGGAAATATATGATCTGAATATAGCTTTCAGTAACTGGAGGGGAAGAAAGCACCTGTCTCAGTATAGAGGTGGATACATATTTTAGGATTATAATGTTACTCAAAGTGTTAAGCTCGGGGTGGACTACATATTCTGCCTGTGTCCATGTCTCTGGAAAAGAAGGACTTAATAGATTGTGCGCTGAAATTGGTCAGAGGTTTCTTAATTCATTTTTAAGACTGAGAGAGGAAAAGTTTACCAAAAATAAAGGAAAGAGAGAAATGCTAAGTGGCCAGTGCAAGAGCTTACAACAAAATAATTTTGAGAGGCAGCCGTTAATACAAGAAAAGGTGATTCAAAGAGGTCAAGCAGAATGAGTTTTTGAAGGATTTTTCTATGATTTTTGGACAGTGGATAGTTTTAAGTGGCTTCTGAAAAAAGTATGTAGGTCAAGATGTGTGGGATGGTGAATCTTGATGCATACTTTATCATAGGACTAAAGGAGTAGGTGCAGAATTTTGTCTGCACTTTAAATCTACTTGGTTATAAGAATTGATCTGGTTGGCCATCAGAAAGCTGAAGAGCTCAGATTAGGAGAAAGTCAAAGGGTAGAGACAGAGTTCATTCCTTCTGGGTCTAAATAACAGCTAAGCTATCCAGGCAAGCGTACTCAATTTTGTACAGAAATTGATCATAGGATTTTATGGAGATTAGGAATATTCACAATAACATTCCTTCTGACCACTTGACATTAAACAAATTTCTCCAGATGAAAACTGCAGCCACAAATTGTCTGTTTAATTGGATGAAGGACTCAAATATAGCTCTACATCTTACAACCTCCTCTTCCTATTTACTTTAAATCATTGTAAGTCGTAGAATCATAGAATGGCGTGGGTTGAAAAGGACCATAATGATCATCTATTTTCAACCCCCTAAGAAGCTGAAATTAGTCTCACAATTTAGTTTTCTTGCTAACTACCAAATTAAAAAACAAAAACCTTCAATTTTGAGTGCTATTTTTGCTCAATATTTTCTTAAATTTGATATTTTCAATGCATCTATATGGAACTTCTTAGCAATTGCAGAGAATATAGTTATTGAGTCACACTTCTGACTTTTCTATATAAAACAAAAAATGGAAGGCATGGAGCAGGTTTCTATGTGAATTTATATACCTTTTTTCTTTGATAATCATGAACTATGGCCAGTTAGGAAAATGGGGGCTTTGATAGTGGAATCGGAATTTCATTGCAGAATCTTGCAAAAGCGTAGTGAAACGGAGTAATCAGTTCAGTTAAAAAGCCTGACCTCTTGCTCAAATTTGCAAAACACATCCTGAATAGAATTATTATTTTTTTTATATTTGTAGTTCTGTGCTTTCTATGCCAACACCATAACTTTGGAATTTTACTTATATTTAAGTAAAGTCTGGATATATCTGGGATCAGAAAATCTAAAATGTCATCAGAAAGTATGAGGTTGGGAAAATTTTGCAATGTCTTGACAGAGTTACATACAAGGACTGCTTGTATGTAAAGTAACGTCTTCTCTTTTATTATGTTGGCCCATGATATCAGATGCAGATGTTGTGGTATGGCAATAGAGGCTGAACTTTCTCGAAAATATTGTTATTATCTGTTTCACAACAACAATATACAGCAAAGGAAGTCTGACAAAATGGTGTCTGACATAGTAGAGTATGGGAAGCAAAGGTGTTGAATTGAACTACTCCATGTGGAAAAAAGTTGCACCCACTGACATTCATTGATGCTTGCTGAATGTTGTTGGAGACCAAACAATGGATGTAAGCACAGGAGGGTAATGGGTGGTGCGTGGTGATTGCTGAGTACCTTAGCAAAACAAGGCTAGTGCTAGGCAGCCTCCCAGGTCCTAGCACTAGCATCCACGTAAAAGAAGACAGAGAGGTCTTCCACATGAATACACTAAACTTGCCAAGAGCTGTTGGAAGTGGCACTGCTGTCTGCCTTCTCTTAATTCAAGAAATACCTATGGGAGGATGTTATGTGCACTACAGCAGAAAGGAATGTTAAGCTAGGTTTTCTCCCTAGTAATTGCAGTGACTTATTACATTATTCAATCATTTCCTTGAGACAAAGAACCTAATATTGCTTTTAAGAGGGGAGAGGGACACAGAGTGTGTATTAGCTAAACATTCAAAAATGCTCTGATTGAGAGGAGAGAGAGGATCTGATTAAAGTGTGTTTATGGAGGAAGGGGAAAAAGAGCAGAATTGCTGAATTTGCTTTTCAATGTGCTAAACAAGATCTAGTCCTTTAGAATTCCTCAAGGTTGTTTGTAAATTTGTAAAGCTATAATTATTTTTTAGGAAATGTTGTTTTTTTTCACATGTCCTCAGATTAATCAAATTAGAGTTTAAACTTTTATTTCATGTTCTTTCTATAGATTAACTTTGTTCAAATGCTGCTAGGAATACAAAATCCTCAAATAAATTTAAAAGAAGCAACCAAAAATTTGGGTATATCCTCTATCTGCATTACAAGATTAAGCTGAATTTTAAACATGCTGAAACTTCCACTATTTTATGGAAGAGATCTCCAGTATCTTATGGGGAATTTAACCAGCACTTATAGCAACACGACCTTCATGACAGAGGTTGTGAATCTACAATGTGGGTAGAGGTGGAGTTCTGAGAAGTGCCAGAGTCCATAGTATCCAATGGCGCAAATGAGCATTCAATGCAGTGGATCTATGCTGACTAATGCTTACTGAGGGTTTTGCACTTAAAAAAAAAATAAAATAAAAAATCTTTAAAACATATTCAGGATGAGATACTGAGTTCAGTTCTTCTTCAGGTCAAGTAAGAACTACAAAACTAATTTCTTTCTATTTTGTTTTTGCTGCTTAGCCTGACCAGCACATTTAACTAACAAAAGCATCCTAACTTGAACCAAATAAAATTCCTTCAAATCAAAATTATGTTCTACTCTGGGGAGGAATACCAAGATTTTTGTTGTTTTATTATTTATTTATTTATGCTATTGCTTGCACGGGGTGGGGTAGGGATGGGAGGGTGGGCATGAAACTTAGTTTGCACAGTTTTATCATCAGAACATCGTTTGGTAACTGGTATGTCATTTTGCAATCGCTGTGGGAGTTTCATTTTTTTAATGAAAGCCTAATAAGAGCTCTGGTAACATTTCAAACCATTGCATAGAAAGTCAGAATACTAATGGAATCCATGTAAACTAGAAAATTCACTTTGGGGGTCAGGTGGGAGGCTTTCTGAGAAAGTGTTCTTGAAGTATTCTCTCAAGATCAAGTCACCTATCCTCCGGGTTAAGAGAAATATTCCATCTGGCTTCAAAGTTGTGAACTTTCTTCCCAAAATGGTTTTATAAACCTGGTCAATTACGTATGCTCAAAAAAAGAAAGATGAGCACCAGTGCCTCACTTATCCTCAACAGCCAGTACCTAGGACTGACATATGGTTGGCAGAAGACCAAAAATAACGTTCTTTCTCCACTTAATTGCATACAGAGGTAGATGTATTGCTCAGTAGATGGTATCCTGTTCAAAAACATCTCATGTTCAAAACACTACATCTCTGCTCTGTTTTGAGTTCACAAGATGCAGCAAGTCAGAAATATTACTCTCCAGTGTGATTGTTGGAAAACTTGTTGGGAAGATCTTGTTTCAATGTTTTATGACAAGTGAAAGAACTTCTATTGGAGATATTTAAACACCACTGAATATCCTGAATCTTAGTACTTTGAGAACATAGGAAGAGAAAACTGGATTCATACCTTTACTGGTATGGGCAGGATTGAATGTTCTGTTGTCAATAATGCAGAAAGAAAATGTTCTATTTCAATACCGAGTTGAAGGTGGGGCACTTTATTTTCTAAGCTGCCTGTGGTGAGATGATACGTTCTGAAAATGCCAAATCTTGCAGGGAAGTGTGACACAATCTGCACTCCTGCCAGTACTGTAGCAGCAAGATGTGAGGCTCTAGTGTTTTGCTGTGTGGCCACTAGCAAAAAGAATGAAATGGGGACATGGAGGATTGGGGGGGAGGGAAAGGAAAATTACAGTGGTATCCAATGTAACAGCTTGCCTCCTTTGCAACCTTAGTACCTTGTGCCTTTCCTATG